CCGGGGCCCGCGGCCGCCCGCTCCGGGTCCCCGACGCGCGGCAGGGGACGGAGGAGACCGCCGCGGCCTCGCCGCTTCGCTCCCCTCCGCCCTCGTCCCGCCGCTGCGCTCCCGCCGGCGCGTCTCCTGAACGCCGCGATTTGCGCCCTGGAAATTAAAAGTTTGAAGGCAGGAGCTAAAAAGCGGCTGTAGGGGAAAGCCGGCAAGGATGACGATGTGTTTGCGGCCGCCGCGGTGTCTTTGCTTTTCCTCTCGGAGGCGGATGGCAAGGAATAATAAACCGCCCGAAGCCATTAGTTAGCGAGGCCGGAGGAAATGCCAGCAGCCGTCTCTCGGTGAAGGGATTATTTCAGAAACGAAGGGAATTATCGTGGCGTTTCCTGCAGGGATGGTCACTTTGTGTCACCGCAGGGCCTGAAGGCCCCATCCGGGACTGGGGCTCCTCCGGGCCGGGCCGACGCGCTCGCTCCCGCCCGGGCGAAAGAGCAAATCCGTCCCTGGAAGATGGGACGGGGGGTGATGCTGGTGCTGGGCAGGGCTCCCCCGCCGTCTTCATGCCTCAGTTTCTCCTGCTTGCTTGCTGCTGCGTGTAGCACCTCCACCCTTTTTAAAGACGTCTCCTCCCGCGCTAGCTAACGGCCTCCTGATGGAAGGGAGAAGGAGGCCGTCATCGACCTCCTCTCCCGTGTGATGGACGGGAGGCCCAGGGAGGGCGAACAGCACCACTTGGGTTGCGCGAGGAGGAGCCGCCGCTGTCGCAGACCCTCGCAGAGTCGCCCGAGCGGCACAACCGGAGCCTGTCCGGTGACCTGCCCTCCCGTGTTCGCCCGCTGCAGGCAGGTCCTTACGGGGAAGGCGCTTCTGTCGCCTTCCTCCAGGTCGTGCATTTGAAGCGCTGGCTGCAGCCTCACGTGAGACCTCGCTGTGACGCTTGGCTTTGCCCCAGCCTCCCTGTGTGATCGCAGATGAGTTGCTCCCGACCAGACAGATTTTTCCGTGGGTGTAAATACTGGAGCCGCCTTTCTTTTTTTTTTCCTTTTTGGAAGCCCTTTACCTCCTTCTGGGACCTTGCGCTCTTCCTATGGCTTTGGGCTCTTCTTTTTAAAGGAAAAAAGTCCCCGCTTCTGAGAGCGGTGATGGACTCGGCTTTAGCTGTGAGTCGAAAAATTGAGCAAGCCAAGGAAAGACTGCAAAGAAAACTGTAACCAACTCCCCATTATGTGTGTGTGTGTGTGTGTGTGTGTGTGTGTGTGTGTGTGTATATATATATGTATAATTTTTTTTCTCCCTCTTTCAGATGCTTGCATGTTTAAGAGCTTGGTTTCTTTGAAGGAGGGGAGCTGTTAGTGCGTTTTCTATCAGCAAGAAAAATCCCTTCAACGAATGAAGCAGATTTGCATTGCCCCGATGCAGCCGAGGTGTTTTTCTTTCTTTGGGAGCGGGGCAGAGCAGCGTGGGGCAGCCGGCTCTACTTTTGTTGGCTCCTGGCCACAGGAGATCAGCCGCGTTGTTGCTGTAGGAGAAAAGGATGCAGCAGGGATATGGCTTTTTCTTTTTTTTTTCCCTCCCCCTTTTCTTCTCTCTCTGGAGCTTTATACAAGTATTCTGACGTTTTCCAGCCGCCAGCTGTTTTTAAAAACTTACTTGTCCGAGAAATTGTTTTGCTCAGCATAAACACGCAGTATGTGTTAGATACCGGTTCAGCGCCGTGGTCGGGTCCGCGCTGAAAGTGAAACTTGTGTTTTGAAAGGTTTCCTGCGGCGAGGCGAGAGTGGCGTGAGCTTTTCCCCTTACGTGTCCTGCTCCTTTGGAAGGACAAACCTCAAAAAGTTCTTGCCCTGGTTTTACCCCTACCTTAAAGAAGGACGCTATGGTGTTAAGCGTGCCTGCCCGGCTCGTTTATTGCCAGCAGCCAGGAGAGGTGAACTAGGCCCTGCTTGGAGATTCATGTGCAAATGAAAATTGGTATAAGATGGCTCATCCTTTTCTCGCCAACAGATAATCAAAGGTAGCAATCCAACCTATATTTGCCCGTCTCTCTAGAATGATTTGGACCTTCAGCCCTAGCTCGATTTTGGTCATCTCTTTTCCTTTTGAATCTGGGACTGTTTGAGAGCTAGTTTGGTATTTTTACGGTTTGGGCCTGGTTCTAGAAGCGAGCCTGGAGTTTGTCCAAATTTCGTGGGTCTGGAGACCTGGCGGCAGATACGGAGGCGATGTAAGCGCCTGTTGAGCGTGGGCCCGTAACACTGCCTGAACGCCCCGATTCGTGATGGTTCCAGCACTGGTTCTTCCAGTCCTCTCTGCAAACACAGCGTGTGCCAGGGGGAGAGCTAAAAGGGGCGAGTTTTAGATGATACGTGTTGCCCTGAATCTCCCACAGTTTCTAAGCTTTTCGACTGAATGGCCTCTAGGCTCAACTTCCTGAACTTCAGCGGGTGTTTGCAGCGCTCACGGAGCTGTCGGTTTAAAAATAAACCCGAGGACTCCCGGCCAGCTCATTTTCCTCATTAGGGACAAAATGGTTGTGCTACGGCTCTGCTTTCCCTCGGAGAGGATGGAAAGTGTGCCTTCATGCACTGGAAATCCAGGGTGAGAGATAAGGCCCTGGCTCAGGAAGGGCTGTCACCCGCCCGTCCGGGGACCGTCCCTTTGAGATGAAGGCGGCACGAGCCTGATTCCTCCCTGCTGTTACACCCGCTGTGCTCTTCTCTGTGGAAAGAAAGCCACCAATTGAGGCATGTGGGCATTAGCAGAACAGAGCCCCGGTTAACTGGAGCCACTGAACATGGTCTGGGAAGTAAAGGAGTTTTTGATCTGCCTTGAGACCACTGGAAGCTCTTGGCGCAAGCCAGGGGAGCACGCTTGGCTAGCACGAGGTCTGAGAAGCTGCGTGAATGAAAAGGCTCCTTGTGTTCTCCCGATTGCTGCTAAACAGGCACAAATAGAGGATGGGAAAAGTGGCTTTTAGCAGTGTCTGCACAGCTGCGTGCCCAGTCTGCCCAGGATGCCACTGGCTCTTTGGGCAAATTGAATGGTTTCTCTTAGGGTGAGCAGTGGGTCAGTTCACCGCTTGGGCGATTACTGTATGTATTGATGCCTGGTTCACTTTGCATTCGGTAGGTCCTAAGAAAATAGGAATAACAATGAAAAATACAGTGCTGGTGGTTTTTAAAACTCAACACTGTCTCTCCACTTCCATTAAAGGATGGTAGTTTTTACGTTGTTCTTATTTCTCTGTCCTAAATGCGGCTGTGTTTTATTTGACATCGAATGATCTCTGCTTTTTGGGTTTCCAGCCAGAAAGCATGGGGATAAAACCAGTGGGAGCACTGAAGATGAGTATTGGGCACAGACACTTAGCATGCTTGCCCCTTTTATAGCAGTGCGTAATTCCCAAATGAGTTTGGACCATTTGAAAATTTGCTCTTGTATTAATGCAGTTTATTAAAACTAGCATTTTACAGATGAATGAGTGTCCACTCATTTGCACAAGACTGTATTTTTTTGGCAAGTTCTTTTATCAGCAGTGAGGAGCTTCCCCGAAGTCCATGAGTTCAGAAAGCAGCTGGCCCTAAATAGACCAGACCAGACGCCCACTGGAGTGAGGGGAGTGTTCCTGAGAATTGCTGTGAGCTTTGGATCTGCGTGTCGATCTGGGACGCAGTTCGGGAGCTAACTGTTTTCTCCTTTTTCTTTCAGCAGCGAAATGTCAGGATCAAGTTTGAATATGAGGGAGAGAAAAGGTATGTATCCAACCAGTCCATTTCCAGGTGCAGGGACAAATTACCCTTTTTACCCAACGTCATCCTACAGGCTTCAGCCAGCTGCAGATGAGCTCACAGCAGGATTCATTACCCTGAAATCAACTACAATTTTATATGTAAGAGCCTTGCCTAGTCATCCCACTTGCCACAAATACCTCCTGGGATTTGCACACAGGCAAAGTGGTTCCTAGCTGGAAATCATTAAATGCTTCTTACCAGGCACAGTTGGATCCTTATGACACCTTAAGATAACCAGATTTTGGGCACGGGTCCCATGAAAATAGAGCTGAGAGTTAAAGCTTGCCCGCCCTTTCCCACTTGACATTTTCATGGAATCACCTCTGCTAGATACTCGGTGACTGTAGCAGGGCAGGACACAGGGTTGGAAAGTTGCAGACTGATGTTCCGAGGTACATGTTAAAGCCAAAGAAAATCTAAGCAATATCAGTGTAGGGCTAGACCATACCTGCTGATATGTGCCTGTAGAGCTGCTGCATGTAATGGTCGTAGGATGTCCAACCACACCATCCTCTCTGCCATCCCTCCTGCCTATATAGAGCCACTTGCTGAAAACAGAGATGATAAATCACTGATGAGTACATCACCCTGGGGCCTCTCCAATAAAGTGCTGCTGGACCTACCTTCTTACCAGCCTATATCTCACATTAGGGGGAGGAGCAGAGGAGATGCATTAAGATTTTGGGTAGGTATTCTTGCAGGGTAGGTCACGTCTCCTCTTAGGCATAGCAGACAAACAGCGTTTGTATGAGTGTAAAAGCAAGGTGCGAGGTTTGCGCTTCATGGCAGGAATATAGGTCCTTGCTTAGCTAAGGACCTAATCAGTCCTTAGTCTAATCTGAAATGCTATTTTGTTTTTACTAATTTGAGACTGCTGTTGTATTTGTTTGCATGTACAGGATTATCCAGTTTCCAAGAACAGTCAAATTCAAAGAAGTGGTACAGAAAGTCACGGATGCTTTTGGACAGACGATGGACTTGGTCTGTGTGAACAATGAGGTACTGCACTCCTTATTGATAAGGGAGAGTTTGTGTGCCTGATGCCCACTTCAGAAGTGGGCAGTGATTTGTTGTTGTTTTAGTTGTGATTTAGTGTCTTTGTACATAGGTGTGAAGGAAAACAATCTATTTTTTTTTTGGTTCCCCGCTAGTGAGCACACAAGCGATGCTGTCCAGACACAGCTCAGTTGGATCCTCAGTCACCAAGCCAGGCTTGCTCTTCTCAAAATGATTTCAATGAAGGTGTATTTATACGGTGACACGGGAACGTAGTCCTCCATACAGAACAAAAAATTCCCCCAAACTCAAACACAGGGAGAAATTAAGTAACTGAGATGCTGGAGATGTTTCCCGTTCCCCTACAGAAGGGAGTAGCACAGTCAGCAGCAGTAGACATTTCCCCCATCAACATCCTTGGTGTACTAGGACTAACTTTCAGCGTGATGGCAGGTTAGAGCTCACGCAGGGCAGAGAGCAGGATGGCTTAGACCAAATGAGTTACATGTGAGCCACAAGAAGTGACTATAGATTGCTGCTCATTGGGTTGGATGTGAAGCCCAGCCTCCCTAGCTGAGGTGTTTTCAGGAGCATACTGAAGTCCTCGGTATTAGCATACAGCAGTGTTAATGCAGCATACCTTTGTCCAGCACTGACTTGGTTTAACCCTGGAACCCCACAACCGCGTGCATTTGCTTTTGTGACTAGGTCTGCAATGAACCACTCACCACTCTCAGTTTCCCTAGCAGGTAATATGCTCACACGCAAGTGTCCAAGAAACCCTTGCTCCGCCATCCTTGCATTTTAAGGCCTGAAGAGCCTTCTAGCCTGACCTTCCTCATAACACAGGCCATTGCGTTTTTTCAACTTGTTCTTTGAGCCCAGCTCTGTGTCTGAAAGAAGTGTAACGGAGACTACTGATGAGGGCCCTTACCTAGAAAGGAGAGGTCCTTGGCGTCTGTTTTATTGAGTGTTCCGTGTTGTCTTGCAAGGTATCTTGCCCTGGGCTGTACAGGGAGCTGGAGCCACTGAATTCTCAAGTTGAGTTCACCTTTGGGGAGGAAGGAAGGGGGCAGATGACAAATATGTAGGCTTTGAAACACTAATGCTATTGGAACTATCATGACAATTTACTTATTAGGATATTAATTGCAAATGATTAGCAGCCTTTCATTAAAGCATGAGCAGAGAGGAAAGATGTGGAGAAAACTTTCTCTTCTCTTTCTCTTCCCTGTTGGTGGAGATTTGACCCACAAAAAAGTTGCTATTTTTCTGTAATAGTTGCCTCCTGTAGCAAACTCTCTGCTGGTCTGTAGCTTTGAATGTGGTCAGCTTTCTAATCTTGGGCATTCTCCAACAGCCCTCCTGGGAAAAGCCTGCCATTGGATTCTCTAGGAATGACTCACTTCATTCTAGGTTTCTTTCCACTGGAAGAGGTATTTTTTTCCAACAACAGCAAATAGAAGCCTAAATAATGTACTTTATCCTATGCTAGAAACTGCCTTCTTGGGCATGTGTACAGCACATAGCAGGACCACAAGCAGGCCTTTGCGTACTCCTAATTGTCATAGGGGTGAGAAGGACTTGAATGTTTTGTCCTTCTGTGCGTAAACATTCCTCATTGTGGGAACCCACACCTTTGGGAAAAGGTACGAGCAGTGGCAATTCAAGGTTGTTGTTGTGGATACGCTACAAACACCACACTGACCTTCAAGGAGGTAGCCTGTGCGTCCACATAGCGACACCTTGGAGTGTGGCTCCTAGCACGTTCTGAGCCAGGTTTTTTAGTCTCGTGACAGTAAGTCTCTGGGACTCCCACACCACAGACTTATTACAAGAAAATGTTTCACCCTTTCTTCATCCCCAGAAGAAGCTGTGGAGCAGTTCTTTGCTTGCTGCCATTAGATGTTTCTGTTGCAATAGCACCTTGTAGACCAAAATTACACTAAGGCCAGCTGCCCCCTACAAACACTTACTGAAATGCAGTCCCTGTCCCAGTGAAGCAGAACTCCTGAAGCCAAGTTCAGTGAGAAGAGCATGCCAGCTGGGTGGAGTAAGGGCGTACATGAATCACATCCTGGTGGGGCCATGGAAGCAACGGGCTTGGGCTGGTATAGATAAGAGCAGGGCCTGGCTGTGGGCATACAGCATGGTGTGTGGAGCATGTCTGCCTGTTAGTGTTAGGCTGGGCTCATCTTTCTGATAAGCAGGAGAACAGAATCTTGCCTGACCATGGAGAGCATGATGTGGGGACTTCTAGATGGCCGGTAGTGTTATGGCTTGAACGCTGGCTCCTACAGCAAATGCTTTGTCTGAATTTTATCTGCATGTACTGCTAACCAGCTGCTCCCTGTGGCTGTGTGTCACCTCATCCCTTGTCCCATCTCTATTACCGACTTATGATGTGACCTTGGGCAGAACGCTGAGCCTTGATGTGCTACGAGTTCCCTTCTGACCTCCCTTTGCCTGTATCCTCTGAGGCAAGGGCTATCGCTTGTCATCATTTAGGAAGGTTAAGGAGAGTTAAAGCCTAGGGAAATGGTAGAACTGCCATTTCTGGGAGGAAGGTTTAAAAGCAGATTAATCAAACCTTTGTCAAGAACTGTTGATGCCACTTGGTCCTGTACTGGGCAGGAAGATGAACTAATTGACCTCTCAGACTTGCCTCCAACTCCGTTTCCTACTATTCTTTGGCTTTCTAGTGAGTCTTACACAGTCAGGTTTAGCAATACTGTTGTGGTGAGTGAAAACTCATTCTTTGCACTCACTTTCTTAGACTTGTGAGACTGCAATGGATTGGCTGCCAAGTCCCATACTGCAACGTTAGCCTCCAGTGGAGTGTACTGTTTAAAATTAATTAAATTAAAACTATTTAAAAGTGAGAAGAAGATCTAAGAAGCTGCATTTGATGAAACTTCTGTGTAGGTGAGCTTTGCTATTCGTCATGGTTGCTCACTCTATATACAGAAGGAACCCAGCTACTGGAAATGCACCCTGGCAACTACTTCTGTGGTTCTGCATGGATTTATATTTAGTTTCACATCTAGTAGATATCTGTTCCTGATACCCACATGTATACCACAATCTGGAAGCCAAATGAAGCAAAATCTAGGTGCCAGATGTGGGTAATAGGTAAAGCCAAGCTAAATACTGGCTGCAGTCCCTTTTACAGGAGGGCAATTTTTGCCTGATGCTTTTGGCTCCTCTGAAGCAAGCATGCAAACGCGTTAGTGTTGTGATATTGGAGTGAGATGGACTGACCTACAGAACATTTTGTTCAAAGCAGAGGCCGAAGGACTGCAGTTCTGAACACTTGTGAAGGGATCCCATAAAGGTATGGTTGAGCAGTGGGACTAACGATTCAGAGTCAAATTCTGCTTGTGGGTGAGACGAGGAGGAGCAGCATTTCACCGTTCTCATTTCTGTTTGGGTGCGCAGAGGAAGGAAGGCTTTTTCTGCTTGATACTCCTGCAGAGCCCTTGTGAACTTCAAGAGAGTTAGGCAATGTACTGAGAGAACATCCCTTACTCTCTACTGCTTAAGGAAAAAGGCTGTCTGTGGACACAACTGCCCAGCATTTGGGAGACATACGTTCAATACCAGCTTTGCCCGATATCAGTCGTGACCTTTGGGAGATTCATTCAGATCCCAAAGTTTAACCATGGCCTAACTGTTAAACTCCTGAAAGCCCTGAATAGCTAATACCTGGTGGGTACTTTCTCCTAATTCGTGTTCGAGCCCTGTCCCAGACAGGGGATCTCTTTCTAGCCTTGCTTGTGAGGCCCAGCCCAGACAAGACTGTTGTCGGTGTTTCCTGTTATCCCCAGTTGGTTAGATCACTAAGGAAGGTAAGAGAGGTTTTTCCAAAGATGTCTTTTTCTCTTCCCTGTCTAGTTTGGCTGAGGACTTGAGCCCCTTCTTTGACAGGCTGCAGGACCTTCTGGGGCAAGGCTTCCTGAAGAGCTCCTCTTGGAGTCCTTTTCCTACACATAAATAACTAAATAGCCTTTGGACAAAGGCTACACAACCTGATTCTCCTCCCTCCTGGCTGAGTGTGCTAAATGCTTTGCTCCGGGGTCTCTTCTGACTTTTCAAATAAATGTCTCAATCTCGTTTGTACATCTTACACCAGAAAAGTGTGTCTAGCTGAGATGGGCACTTCAGGCTAGAGTTTGTTGCGTAAGCATCTTTTGAGAACCCCCCTCATCTTTCTTCAACAATTGCCGGTGGCTATGCCAGGCAGCTCCCTTCTCTTGTGTGTGAATCCCATTTCTGGATACGTGAGTATCCCAAGCATGCTGTTGGAGTCCTGAGTATTGTCTAATTTGGGACTGTGAACTCCGCAGGATAGCAGAGTGCATGAAACTTAGGCATTGCAATGCCCCAGCTCTTTTGTGGATCTGTCCTTTAATGTCTCAAAGCTGAGTGCCTACAGTAGGTGTAAGCTCCAGACCCCTGCTATCCAGCTGCTGGAGGTAGGCTCTCTTGGTGGGAGGATGATGTTCCACCTGGTGCTAAACATCTGAAACAGGTGGCCTGCGTCTGGCCTCAGTTCCCTGTCTGCAAAACAGGGACAAAGGATGACCTTCCTATCACATAGGAGAGGAGAAAATCTAAACCTTGAGGCATTCAGACCCTGCAGAAACAGCAGCCACGCAGACACCTAAGATGGAGCCTGGCAGGACTAGGCTGTGGTTCTTGGGTGGATGAGTTGGCGGTAGCTCTTTCCC